CAGCCCCGCATCCAAGGTCCGAGTTGCAAAAAGCACCAGATTTGAAAAAGACGCGGCTGTGTGAGCTCCTCAGTTTTTGCGTCGGTGCCGATCAAGAAGTGATGCCGACTAGTCGCGCAAGGTCGCGCCTTCCTGCAGCGGACCGGAGCTTGGATTTGTTATGCGGGGGTCGGCATGCAAGGAATGTCCACAAGCGTACTAAGCCCGAAGCCATGATGTGCCTTACTTAGCCATGATGCCTTTCGATAAGCGTGAATGAGTCAAATGAGCTTTGATTTTGGAGCCTTAGTTCATCCCTGTGTTTGGGAACTGCCTTAAGTCTCGAAAGCTCAGAATTGGAAGGCTGTGCAAGCGAGTCAGAGCTAACTTGGCGCCCACTGGGCAAGCCACATCAACAAGCAACATAGATTGATTACATAAGAGCATCCAGACTGGCATTGATCCTGAATGAATGTAAGGTTGGTTCCTCGCCAGACTGGCATGCGTCCAATCGTGGTGTCGTACCCACTCAAAGCTTAGCACACTCGAAGGGTTTTTCCGATGGCACGAGAGCGAGAGAGAGAGAGGAAGGGTTTTTCTAAGACTTCCGAGATGGCCTGGAGGAAGTGCAACGACGCTGACTGCAAGTTTGCTCATGGTGAGCAGGAGCTCCGAGTGCCTGCCCAAGCCTAGCTATATAATGAACACTGCATTGCAAGCCGCGATGCTCGCTTATTCTGATCGAGGCTTCTGACATTTGCTTTAAAACAGTGGCGTTCTTAGTTGCGCCTGGATAGCGCGCCCCTCAGCAGAGAGATCATTTGGGCTGTGCCAGGCCCTTTGCACTTGGTTCGAAAAGGGCAACTGCCAGAGCGGTTCCCAATGCCAGAGCCTCAGCCCAAGTGGACTTGCAGACGGAGCTTTGGCATCAGGCCGGTTTGCCCACGGGGTGCACCCGGCTCTCTTGTGCTTGCTTGTGCTTGCTTGTGCTTGCTTGTGCTTGCTTGTGCTTGCTTGTGCTTGCTTGTGCTTGCTTGTGCTTGCTTGGGCAGTCGCCTCGGGGTAACGTTGCCAGGAGGAAGAGCTTCGGGACGATCCTGATGCGAAGGAGATCAGATTAGATTGATGATGGTTTGATGTGATGAGCATCATGTCGTTCTTGTTGTTCCTCGTGTTGCGAGTTTGTGCCTGAAGCCGGCGCTGAAAAAGGCTTGCGAGTCTGCTTAGCTTCAGGCAGCGGCTGAGCTTGCACCTGAGAGTCCTGATTGGCGAATCCTGCGTAGCCTGCATGCGTATCAAAGGGACCTTTGGAATCTGATAGTCGCCCACTCGCATGGCCATTTGCAGAACTCGTCTATTGCTGCAGCATGCTTCCTTGAGGCGAGCGCGGAAGCGGCTTGCTGCAGAGGGCTTGGCATTTGTTTATCAAGAGCCAACTATGTGGCTGGTTTGTTGCGTGACAATTGCCATTTTGATAACTATGTGGCTGGCTTGTTGCATGACAAATGCCATGTTCGATTGCCTTTATGAACGAAGCTGGTGGCAAACTGGCCTTTGGAGTGTATCACAGCACATTCTACATGTTGTTGATGATGCGCCTGCCTTTGCGCTGCCATGTGGTTTGACGTTCGGTCCAAGCATTGGGATAGTGCAGCGTTCCAGGCACGGTCGGTGCCTGCCAATGTTCCGTGCATTTACCTGAGGCCTTGTTGGCCTCAGTTCTCCGATTCCAGGGAGTTAGTTGAGGGTTGTTTGTACCGGTGTCCTTTTGAGAAACATGAGCATGGCACGTGCATGAATGTCAGCTGGCGAAGGAGGAACAAAAAATACAGGCAGGCACACTGCCCCAGAGACCGAAGCTGTTAAGTTTTTTTGTTTGCAAGCTCCTCCTGGTGCGCTGCAGGGGATGGCGACCGAAGTCTCTCGAAAGAGGAAGCTGCCTGCACCTGCGGAGGAGCTACTGGTCACGCTGCTCTCGATGTTTGGGAAGTCAGTCATTGGCCCGGTAGGTTCAACATAAGACAAAGACAATGATGATAATGCAAGTGTGCGAGAGACAGAGGGAGAGAGAGAGAGAGAGCGCGAGACGCGTGCGATCCATCCGCAGGATCCGGGCCTTGGTGGGCTCTATGATTTTCTCCCACCCCCCGACCCGGAGAAAGACAAGGCACACAGCACGCACAGCAGCATGCTCAACGCTTGCCTGAAATTGGCCTGAATACGTCAGGCCACAGCTGCCAAAGCCAGAAAAACTGCGGAGCTGAACACCAAGCCCAAGCTTCCTCCAACAGACAGGCCAGCAATTTCCAGGAATGATCAGGACGTGTTCTTTCGCTCCTCAAGTTTGCTGCCAAGGACTCGTGTGATTTTCTTGGATGTCGACGGTGTCCTGCTTGCAGCGGGCAGCGTTGAGATGTGTGGCGCTCAAGCAACTGAGAAATCTGAGCAGACTGACCCTTGGAGCTCTACCCCAGCTGTTTAACGTGTATGTGGCGGGCACCTTCAGGATCTACATAGACGGCGTGATGCTGCCTGTGCGGGCGGCAAAAGAGGCTGACTTCAGCAGAGTCGCTCTCTCGAACTTGCGCTCCATAGTGCAGCAGCCTGATGCCCAGCAGAAGCAATCCGCAGAAGCCGCAGAAGTCGTTACTTCCGTTACTTGTTTTTTTGTGTTTTTTTTGCTTCCGCTGCTTCCGCTGCTTCCCAAGGACTGGCGCCACCATTGTTTTGTCGTCCGAGTGGCGGCGAAGGGAGGCACGGCAATGCTTGCAGTGCTTACAGTCACAAAGCAAAAGGCACTCGCAAGACTCTTAAGACAGTTGTGAAAGGAGATGAGAGACAACATCCGGAGAACCCTGGCGGCCCAGGACAAGCAGTGTGACAGCATGCAACAACGCTGACTTTGCTTGGTGATCACTGTCAGGACATTCCCGGCTTTCAAGACTCAACGCCAATTTTCCAGCCATCTGCAGAGCTGGTCAAGCAGAGACTGGATCAGGTGGGATGACAGGCTGTGCATGGCAGCCGTGGGACAGCGAGCAACGCTTGCCAAATTCGGGGGGTTTGTTTGGCAACCGTTGATCCCGTTGGCCAAGCATCGCTAGTCACCGGCACAACAAAACATTAAAAGCCACATGCAGTTTGTCTTGAGCGGCATTGCTGAGGCAATCATTTGGGCAGAGCGCCGTGCGCGTGAGATAGGCAGTTGGTTGAAGCAGCACAAAGAAGTCAAGGCCCGCCTGAGGAACCATTGCTTGAAGGCAAATGGCCCGAGAGCAAATGGGAATGGAGCGATAGCAGCGAATAGCCCAGTGCATTTGCGATTCCTGTCCAGGCATGGGCTGTCATCGACGACATCGATTTTAGCTGGGCTGACAGTGTGAAGGTTCAAGGAACTCCGCTCATCAAGCCGTGCGCTGAGAAGAGCCAAAAAGCATTACACGCGTTGAACTTGTGGAGAATCCAGTTCCTGCTTCTTGCATCCCAGGCACCGCTCAGTTCTGACCAACCCGAAGCACTGCATAACAGAGAAGGACGCATCGTCATGTTCCTTACAAAATAGCCAACGTGGGCTGCTTTCGCCTGCAAGGATGCAGATGAAGCTGTCCGGATCTTATTAAATCCTCCAGTCATCGCGCCAGGTGAGGAGGTGCGAACATGAATGTGCCACAAGCCTTGGGTGTTGCCTGAGCTGCCAGGCGGATGCCATTGCTGCTGCCAGATATTTGACGGACGAAGCATTGGCAAAGTGTGCAGGAGGAGGCTTGATGTGACCCTTCTGCTGGTCCCTGATGGCCACGTTTGCCTTGAGCACGCGAGCCTGAAATGGACTGAGAACCAGAGGTTCCTCGCTCATGAAACGAAGTGATGTTTCACCAGTAGAGGAACCAGTCAGCAGCGCTTTGTGCGTGAGCTTGGTGCGGTCATCTAGCCAAAAAACAGGTTGTCACGGCCGAAACAAATGCAGAAAAGCACGACCGGCTCGCAAGCTTTGCCCAATGCTGCAGCATTGGCATGGCCTTGGGTCTTGGAGACTGGTTGCGCCAAGCAACGTGCGGGTCAAAATTGAGCGCACTGGTGCCGCTGAGAGGTCCAGCAGTCATGGTGCTACTTGCTATTCTCCTGTCCTTTGCACCACCCATGGCCAAGGAAGGCTCAGAGGCTGTGCACTTAGCATGTAGATGGCCGTTTGACCCCCTCGCTTCAACTTCCCGCTTTCCTGTTGAGGATGCCGGCCGCTCAAAGAGGATGCGGACAACCTCGCCGCTTTGCCACCGCAAGGGCCGCAGAAGGGTACGAAGACATCCTTGTTGGATTTCAGAAACGGGTTTGACGTCTAGGCTGTGGATCAACCATTGCAACATCTTTGGGCCAGGCTCTCAGTTGCGTTGAGTTGGGAGACATGGACAAGCAATGATACGGGTTGCAACTGTTTTTTGATGTTACGAGCGGGGTGCAAAATACTTGTTTCGTCTCAGATTTGTGTGTGTGATCTTTGTGCCCTTTGCCTCTTGTGCTTCTTCTTCTGCTGCGTTTGATGATTATTTTGCTGCTACTGTACCCTCAGCTTTTCTTTGCCTCCTTGCTCTTTGCATGCCAGTCATTGTTGGATTGTTGGCCTTGCCGTTGTACTTGTTCGTCTTTGTCCCCTCGGGTAGTTGATCTGCGTGATGATCCTTGCCATGTTGGCATCCTTCCAAGTCTTTGGCATCAAACATGGTTGAGGCACGTGCGGCGCTAGAAGCCCACATGTTTGACACTTTCATCTTGTTTGAGCTGATGTTTTGTGTGTAAAATGCATTGACAAGTGTGAATACTTTTCTATTCCTACCAAAACTCGGCTGCATCATTGTGCGTCTTGCGCGAAGACCTTGAATCCCCAATCACCGCATCGCTACTGGCTAATGCAACCCACTGTCAGGTAAATTGAGTTGGCCCTTACTAGTTTGGCGGCCAAACTGCGTGGGTAGGTTGTTTCCCCTTGCGCGAATCGTAACAGCAGGGCGTCATGTACTTTCACTGCTGCCTCCTGCCTTAAAATAACAAACGTCAACCTTTGATGAAATGTGTTTACGTCGACCATAGTTGTCTTGCAAGAGTTTGCATGCAAGAGGTTGGAGATGGGGTTTGTGTTGCGAATGATAACGTGCCTGTCACAGCGACGGCCCAAGTGGCGAAGAAGGACAATTATGACTGTTTGCATGGCCTGGGTGGCACTTTGTGAAGTTTGCGTGTTGCAAAAGCAGAAGCGTTTGCACTCGTGGAGTTTTGAGGGTTCCACCACACCCATTTGTAGATGACGTGTGCTGCGAGCGCTTTTGTACCACGGGATCTCCACAAACTAATAGAAACTGTGATCCAGGGCTCCAACAAGCCGTGTTACCTTTAATTACGCTGACTAACTGTGCCACTCGGTTTGTTCCTTTTGACAAGTGAGGCAGCGGTCTCAAGGAGCGGCGTCACTTCAAACAGGGTCAGCACCATTACCTGTTTTGAAGTTACTCTTGCACCTGCCGAGGTTACACTGTGTGCCCGCTTTGCCGCTGCTGACGCGGCAGCTGGCCAGCCAATCTTGCCAATGAAGCATGGGCAGCAAGCATGCACGGAATCGTCTCACGAAGCAAACCTTTGAGTGTCACGGAGTGAGTGATTTATCAGTTTGGACGACAAAAAGAAACCCTGCGCTTGGCTAGTTTTAGAGCCAATGTTCGGCGCAAGTAGGTTGGCACAAGCACGGGCGTGCAGATGCAAGAGCTGCGCAGCTCAAGGCAACAAAATCTGTGGAAACACAGGCCATGCCACAAAGCCGGCTTGGTTTGCTTGCTAAGCTGCGGGCGCCATGACCGACAACAGGGAAGATGGCTCGGAGTGGAAGGTCCTAGATAAAGCCGGCGGGGCGCATGAGCCGATGATGATCAACTTGGAAGGCACCCGCGTCTTGAAGCAGCTGGAGGCAGACAGGCCAGGAAAGCGCGGGTTGGAAGGCATCCATTGTGCGGAAAGGATAGCAAGCTTCGTTGTATTGGGTTCTTCCGGAGTGTGTGGTTTGGAGTGGAGCGGAGTGGAGAGGAGCGGGGTGGAGCTGGAGTGGTGAGGTGAGGTCAGGTGAGTGAGAAACTCTGCGCTGCTTAGACAGGGCCATAGTCCTTTCGCATATAACGAACCACACAGTTTGGCGCCTGTCAGCCGCTGCTTTCGCAAACTTTACCCTTTTCGGAAATGGCCCGTGACATCGCCTCTTTTGCAGAATTCCCTTCTACTGCCACGCTCCTTGCCTCCTGCTTTCCAAACACCTTGACATTGCGCCTTGTCACCATTGGCAGCATTTCCACATGAGCCTTTGTGTTGGTGCTGCCCTTCGTTGTGACCTCATGTCAATTCGTCTTGAAGGCTGTTGTTTCGAGGGAGGCCAACGCAACGCACGGGGACTCACGCGCAGTCGTACGTTCCCCTTGACAATGCATGTCCTTTTCCAGCCAAGCAACCTCCACCTGCACCCCAGCTCGCTTGCGGTCCTGTTGGGTTTCCTCAGCACGTCCCTCAAGCCTTGATGCCTAATAAACAATTTGTGCGATGCAGTTTGTGCGGTTTCCAAGCGCCAATGCCTCAAGTAAAGTTGTTTGAATGTTCAATATGGCTTTCTGGATTCTGCAGCCTTCGCGACTCTCGCCCCTTGTTGGGTTTATGCTGCTGCGTTTTCAGAAGGGGTCCTTAGGAGTTGTGCTGACTGCAGCTGTTTGCCGCTGCCGTGCTCGTGACAGGACCCGAGAAGCTTTTGCGTACCAGGAGCTGAGCAAGACTGCGTTAGGTGCGTTCCTTTGCCCTTTCTATGGGGTCAAGAGGCTCAACGAGTCAGAGTACATGGAGCTCGGCAGTGCCTATGCAGGCATGCAAGGGCCCACAGCAACGATGGACATAAAAATTGGTAAGAAAACTTGGGAGGACGACGCGTCGCCAGCTAAAGTTGCCAAGGAGTCCAAGAAGTTTGACGAAGTGTATTCTCAGAGCAGTGCCATGGATGGTTTCCGTGTGGCAGGCATGAAGGCTGGTGCCTTGGTTCTAAACTCCGGCAACCTGAAGGCCCGCTTCAGCCTCAGGACGGAAGAGTTTGGTGGCTGGTTATTGCCAGCTTTTCTTGCTGGCCCTCCAGGATTTGGACCGTTGCCTGCGGGAAATGCTGGATTGTCCAAACCGGACAACCAAAACTGCGACATTGATAGGGTTGCGGCCGTGGAGATGTTACAAAAGATCAAGGCCATCAGTGCAGCAGCAGAGTCAGGTTTCAACGGGACTTTGCGAGCTTCCAGCCTACTGTTCACCAGAGAGATGCGACTAGGAGGAAGGTGGGCAATACATTTGATAGACTTGGCACATTACTCTCAGCCTTCGGAAAACGTTGGCATTCGCGATGACAATTTTTGTGACGGATTGAGGAACTTTGTCCAAATGTGGGAGATGTGGTGCAACGATAGGCCCGGCCAGTGGTGTCCTCCTCGGTTATGCTGCGGTGCGCGTAAGTGAGCCCACTCCGTGCATGCTTTGACATGGAAATTAGAGCCTGCTGATCGGCTGACAATGACCGTTCAAAATAAATCTGCAAGGGAAATCGTGGGAGTGACTAAGCAAGGAGTTGGGTGTTGATGCTTGAGACTCTTGTGGGTGGAGTGTCAATGAAAGAGAGGCAGCAAAGTTGCTTGCGAAATGACACTAAGTGTTGAGCACATTGGGAGCTTTTGGCAGCCGGTCAATTGGTGCATTGGATCATTAGAAAGTTTGGTTGATTCACTTGCTTGAGTTTTCTTTATGGCAAGGCTCTGCCTGTTTTGAACTTCAGCCAGGGTGCGGGTTGAGTTGGTATCGTGTTGATTCTGGAATGGCTTCGCTTGCTGGCATGTTGGTCTGAATCAAAGTGGGTTTATGTATGAATGCTGATAGGTTTAAGGTTGGTTGGATGTTTGGCAACTCTTTGGGTTTGTTCAGCAGTGTATGGGCCAATGTCATGTTGTCAGCTTGTCGCACGGTTTGGGCTGGTTGGTTGCTCCAGGGCACCAAGCCAGCCAAAACAAATAACTCGTCGACACGCCTTTCGCCAATCACACACCCAGTGAGTCCCGAAATCAAAATAGTACTGCGGCAAACCTTACCTACAAATTATGTCAACAAGTATCATGCTGATCCAAATGCAGATCCATCCAAAGAGATCATGGGTCATGTGCAGAGTCCAATCGCCGCCATTGTTTTGTCAAGGAAAATAGCCCGCTTGCATAATGTTTAATCATGATAGTGTCCAAGTTGTCGCTCCCAGGCATGGCAATCAGAGTTTCATGCTCCTCAGCCCACTCCAACACATGTCTCAGCTCCTTCTTCAGGGAGGTCAGATAACATCCTCCATGGCCAACCGACTGGCAATGCCGACAGAAGCAACCTTCTTGGGGTCAAGTGTCTTGCGCGGGCTCTCGAGACCCCAAAAGTTCACCAGATACTTGCGTGGGGCTATGTGAGTTGTTCAGAACGTTCGGCCCCAGAAGTTCTGTGGCACCATCACGCTTCACACGGATGCTGACTTTGCAGGGTGCTTTCTGACACGAATGAGCACCGCCGGCGTGTGGTGAAACACTCTTGCAACTTGCAGTCCGCAACAAGTCTATCACCTGGAGAATCAGCGTACTACGCCATAGTGACAACCGTGGCAAATGGATTTGCGACTCAGGCATTAATGTCCCACAAAGCGTATAGCGCTGCAACAGGCAAGGCTTGGGAAAATCCGGATTCAAGAGCGCGACCCACGCAGAGGGACCATGGGTCATGTGCAGAGACCCCACTGTTTCGGCTCAAGGAAAACATCGCCCGCAAAACGTGTAATCACATACAGATTAATGCAATAAATGAATGATTGCATGTTATATATAACAATTGTAAAGCAAAATGCATATTGCAAAATAAGCATCTGTTTTGAATATAGTGTTTTTTTTGTGTAGACGGTTTTTGCTTGGCTTGCATATCGGGGAAATGATTGATAATACTTGGTTTTTTCATGTGTGTGTTTGCATTTGGTTTGTTTGTTTGTTTGTTTCATGGTTTAGAAAAAGGAGTTGGGAAATGATAATTATTATTACAAAAATGTAAAAATTATATTTAAACATGCAGTTTTTATATAATGCTTAATAATTATGTTTGTAAGTATTTGGCTTAACATTTGTTTATATATGGTTTTTAAATTCTGAATACAAAGGAGGAATCTTATAGAATATTTATTAAAGCTTTATATGTTATGACAAAAATAGTTTTTAATAAATAAGAAATATTTTGGATATGGAGAAAAATAGGTTTGTTTTGTCTTTTTTGCATTATAATGATATATATATATATATATTTTTATATATAGTTTATAAAAATATGGTTAAACATACTATATTTTAGTTATAGAAACATTTTATTGAATTATTTAATTTATATTTAAAATTAACATATATATATATATAAGTATTTGATATTTGTTGTTATTATATATAAATTTGTTAAAACAAGTTGAAAAATGTTATATAAATTAACATTTTAAAATTAATTTAAATAGAAGATAAATATATTGTATAAATGGTGTAGATAATGAAGGAAAAGAGGCATATTATATTTGTATGTATAACCTTAAAATATGCAATTGGTAGTCCAGGATGCCGATTTTCCTCATGCCGGGTTCTATTGCGGGCCTGGTCAAAACGCTTTGGGCTCATAACCTACGCGCGCTGCGCCGCGCGAGTTGTTTCCTTGAGCCAATGTTTGAAGTGCGATCGTGTTGTTTACTGCGGATTCACAATTGGATAGGGTTAGAGCTGTAGTGTTTGTTTTAAGACTAGTATTGATTATATCGGGGCTTCGGGGTAAAGAGAAATGTCGAATTGTATTCGGTTATAAGTTGTATAGTGTTTTTACAATATAAAATTGAGAGAATAATTGGGTTCGTTTGAGGAATCTTTTTCTAATGTAGTATATGTCACGCGGCCGGCATGGGTATTGTGGTGGCCGAGCTGGAGGGGGAGGTTGCCATAATTGGTGAGGAGGCGCGAGGTCTTAGGTAGGAGCCAGAGACCTAGGGCTGAGGCGGAGCTCCGGAAGGATTAATGGTTGGGGGTCCTCAACAGGGAGACCAAGATGGGTGGCAACATGCAGAGACGCTGAGTAGCGCCAGGTTGGGGTTCTGAAGGCGCGCAAAACGGAGCTTGCAGGAGGACGTGGAGAAGGAGATCAAGCCAAGACGGTCACTTTAGGCCTCCGATGATTGTCTGGTAAATTGTCGGTGTCACTGGAGGTCAAGTGCCACCCTGGTGTGCGAAGGGCCTCCTGCCAGCAAGGGTGGGGCCTCCTTTGTCTTCGTTTAGCGCTTGCTTGGCGGGAGTCTGCTTCGGCAAGGTGGTCCTTGTCTCATCGGGGTCTGACTGCGTTTGAAAGATTTTAGGATGAGTTGTCGAGTTGGCATGGAGAAGGGGGGCGTCGAGATCGAACGAGGTCACCGTATCCACCTCCGTATCCAAGGACGCTAGAGAGAAGGAGAATTCCGGGTGGTACAGAAATCCCTTGGGGCGCGCTACCCCGTTCCAAAGGTGAATGGTAACACAGTTCCTGGAGGTGCTTGCAGCGGCTAGGTAATGGAGGACATGGAGTTGAAGTTGGCGATGCCGGACCGTTCATCATTACTGAGGGCATTGGATGGAATGACCAGTACGCATGGAAGCAGTAGGTCGAGCTGAGGTCGCCGGAGAATTCGGGTTCCTAACGCCTTTGTGATGTTGGTGGACATGTTGGGGCCGACGAAGAAAGGGGTGGACTAAGACGGAGCCAAGGCGACGTATGCGGCTGTCACGGTCCTCACGCTCCCGATCGGTGAAGAAATCCACGATGGGGAACTACTGGTCATGCTGGTGGAAGAGGATGATAGACGTGGATGAAGTTGGAGGTGTGGGTCGAGGCTTATAGCTTGACGGGGGAGATGGATAAGAGGGCGAGGAGCTAGGGAGAGGTTTTTTTTGCTGAGCAGGATCGGCGTCCAGCTTCGGGGGAGGACGGTCAGGTAGAGGCGGAAACAAGCGGAGGAGGAGACGCGAAAATTGCAGGAGCTGATTAAGGACTTGGGAGATGCGGCGGTTCGTAATCTGACGTTTGTTATTCCGATCAAGTCTCGGAACGGAATCGGGATGTGATTTTGCAGGTGGTCGCGGAGTGCTACAGGTTTCTGCGGGTGCACGCGGACAAAACGAGGGAGTTTACCTACACGGAATTGCGAACATGGACTGCGGAACGGAATCTGTGGCACACGACGACGGCAGGTGGACCTTGTTGAGGTAGGCGTGATTAACAGGAGGGTGAAGGTATTGCTGGAGGCAAGCGGGGCATTAAAGGAGAGATGGCCAAGTTTGAGCCGGCGTAGGCATGGGGGCCGTCAAAGGATATGGCATAGGGCTATTACGTGGAGTGCGAGGCTGGTTGCTTTGTGCGGGCATCTGCGGTGACGGTTACTGTTTCGGAGCAGGTGGTAGAGGAGGAGCAACAAGTTCGAAGCCGTCTGCGTGGTAAGTCTTAGGCGCCGGCCTGGGCGGCCGGGGGGGGGGGGGCTACGGTTGGAGAAGTTGGAGAGGCACTAGCGGAAGCATAAGCAGCTCCAGCACTAGATGCGGCTCCAGCACTAGTAGTTCCGGCACCAGGAATCAGCGCAAAGGCGATTGAGGAGCATGGGGGCATGATCGAGGCAGAGATGGTGATTGGTCCAAGCGCCTAGCGTAGGGTCGGGTGGCTCACACCTCTGAGCCGGGAGAGATAGGCCCATGAGGTAGTAAAGGAGTGGGAAGAGGAGTAGTTACATTGGTATGGGAACTTGAAAAGAGTAAGGAGTTATTTGGGGAACCAGTGGAGAAGTCGTAGCTGGAGTGGACTAAGAAGATCGCCAAGGATGGCGGAAAGCTGGAAGAGTTATTAAAGCTGTCTAGAGGTTAGAAGAAGAGGAGTTCCTGCAAAACGACTCCGCTGGAAACGATTAGAAGAGAGTTGGATTTGTGCAAGGAGGCCATTGCGGAGGAGTGTGCGTCGCTCACGTCTGAGACGTAGGCGATTAAGCCGATGTCGGCGGTAGAAGCGGAGGAGCTCATGAAACATGCGGAGGTCGACGTGGCGGTGTTTTCATTAGGAAGGTAGGATGAAGAAAGGTGCGCGTTGTGGTATGTGGGAACTAATTGACGGGGAAGGAGACGAAGGAGGAGGTGTTCGCTGGTGGAGTTGATAGTATAGCGTGGCGTGCTACTCTTCGCAAGGCAGCGTATGAGGGGGAACCCTTTTTTCTCACCCTCTAAGCCTTTTTTTCTAACCCTCCCTGTTTTTTTTTTCAACCCTTCACCTTTTCTCCTTCGCGGTTAGGCAAGACAGAGTGGGCCAAGAGTGTTTTCCGCCGACCTTTGGAATTGAAGATTGGCGCTTTGGAGTTCTTTCCTGATAGTATGCGGCAGTTCAGGCGAGGGTTTCATGACGGCCTGATC